GATGAAAGAAAAATTGGTGGGTATCGATTTGTAACTACTCGAACTTTTGCCTCAGTCATTTATTATCGTTCGCGGTTTAGATACTACGCTGTTATATAATTTGTAAACTATACAGTGAAGTATTTTGAACCAAAACCAATATAAACCGAATCGAATTCTTGTTATTTTATGTGGGAAGTTTTCAAATATCGAATAATTAAAACTTCGCTAGTACCTAGAGGTTTGGTAATCAAATTTGTTTTTCCGAGAGACTTGATAATGGCAATTGTAAATTAGAATTCCCTTATTCCTTTTCATGGACTGCGTTATTGTTTCTTGAAGGAAACCTATAATTGGTGTGCAAATTGTGAGTAGGTATCTAACATCAACAGCATAAATTCAGCCATTTCAGTTTTCCGCAGTGGCCATGAAGTTATCACATTGAGTAAGTATGTCAGAATTAATCTTTGATGCTTTTTTTGTGTAACAATGGGTTTCATTATAAATGGATGCCACAGATCTATCATCGTTCCACCCTAGCAATTACGGAAATTTTAATCTGTTCACGAATACACGTGATACCGTAATTTAAACATTAGCATTCTAGCGATGAAAGCTATCGAGGGATCAATGCTGGGTTTATTTTTTATCAACGTATTTCCATTTTGTGTTATTTTATGAATTAAATTGCCTTAACCTCTCCTTATAAGTGTGCTAGTGCATATTCGGCAGTCGGACCCCAATAATCCCTTCTGTGTGACCATTGTATATTTAAATACAGGCAACGATATACTAATTTAATAATCGATTTCAATTCCAGTTGACTTTCAGAAACGATGATAGCTCTATTTTTTACGCAAGTTAACTAATGTTTGTTTACTTTGTGTGAGTGTTGCTTGTCACTTTTTGGTTTAGTTTTATCGTAAAATTTTTATCTGCCGCCATTGGCCCCATTGCCTTTCCAAGACGTCTTGTTTCATACGGTTTCATCGTTAGTTTACGCTTTTCGAGTTTATGTCTGAAGTTTAGCTCGAACTCGAACTCGTTGCAGTGAATATAGTGTCATTAACCATTATTTTGTATTATGTCGATAGGTTTCCAATGGGATACTTTAAAACATATACACAAAAGTAGGTACCTGCTTCGAGATTCATACCGAAAATAGTGAATCAGCGATCGCTTACATTTACGTAAGGCCTTTCTGTCACATACACACCAAATTTTCAAACTTTAATAGTATCAATTCGTCATCACGTCAATACGCCTCGTTTGGAAAAGATAATTGTGAACGGCAAACTCAACCTGCACAAAAAGGATGTTGACGATTCTATGAGAGAGTCCAGGAAACGAAACTTAAAATAGTATAAATAATTTTTTCAAAATGCATAGATTTGCATGAAAATTTGTGATTAAGTTAAACACTTATCCTCCACTTCAAAATCTATATTATATCGGTGGGCGCTCTTCGTGATTAGAGGCTCTGGAGTACTATTTCAGAATACTCCACTATTAAAAATCAACTCTCTTTTCGTTCTCGAGTTAGATGAGGAACAGACAGACAGACGAACAGACAAACAGACGGACAAAACCATCGCATAAGGGAAATCTATTTTGTATCTTTAATTAAAATACAGAATATTTTGAAAGGAGTGATATTCTTTTTGAATCGACCTGTATAGTGTATACAGGGTGATTCCTATAGTACCTGCCACCGTTTGGGAGCGTGTAGGTGGTGCGTAGGGGAGTATTTTGATATAGGACACTTGGTGTCGGAAATCTAAAATAAGGGTGCCAGAGTCAAATTTACCTTCTGGAATTTCGCGCCTGTAGGTAGGCAACCCAACCGGCCGGCGGTGCACACGGAGCGATCTCAGGCGGCGATGTGTGGCTGACACTTGATCAGAATATTGTTTAAACCCACGAAATCCCGTCTGCAACGACGCGTATCAAGTGAATAAACACTATGGCACGTTTTACTAACACGGAATGCTAGTACGCGGGTTTGCCTCGAAACGTTCCAACACATCCTCCTCTAAGGCATTTACCAACGGGCGATCGCGATCACGGGCGCTAGTGGGCTGCGAAATAGGAGGAGGTCGGTGTAAACAAACAAACTTTTCGAAATGGGTGCTTAAATGACCCAAGTATCGATGTGCATCACGAATCTGTGTGTAAAGTTAAGCCTCCGTCAGCTTACCTGCAATTGCCCTGTCTCGCACAGTCGGAAGTGAACTTCTTGAAAGACCTGTCTGCAGGGTAACTGACGGTTTGGATACCGCTCAGCGTACGCTCGTCGTGCAGCTCGTGCGTTACCATTTGCCAATCCGTACATGAAGTGCATGTCCGCGTATTCCGTGTTAGTAAAACGTGCCATAGTGTTTATTCACTTGATACGCGTCGTTGCAGACGGGATTTCGTGGGTTTAAACAAAATTCTGATCAAGTGTCAGCCACACATCGCCGCCTGAGATCGCTCCGTGTGCACCGCCGGCCGGTTGGGTTGCCTACCTACAGGCGCGAAATTCCAGAAGGTAAATTTGGCTCTGACACCCTTATTTTAGATTTCCGACCCCAAGTGTCCTATATCAAAATACTCCCCTACGCACCACCTACACGCTCCCAAACGGTGGCAGGTACTATAGGAATCACCCTGTAGAAACCCTGGTTCTAGGGGTTTAGATTTCAACACGGAACCACGCAGAAATCTGGTGTTTAGGGAAATTGTTTGAAAAATAATAAGAATCTCTTTGCGTTGTCATTTTCTCCTTCTTATACAGGGTCTTTTTTAAGGGACAATTCGCCATATGTGGCAAAGTAGAGAAGATACGCGTATAAAAATGAAATGCAAGGTTCTCGACCATTGACTTTTTAGCGTAACACAACGAAATTGCGGTAACGCTTTTATGCTCAATTTTCCGCAGTCTGTCTGTCTATCTATCTGTCTGTTTCAGGGTCTGTTTGTTCCTTCGAGATCTCGGCCCCTGACTCCTGAGCCTGGGCCACCTTAGAGACTTCGCGTTACTCTAATTGAAAGCTGCTATGGTCTACATTTGCCCGTTACTCATCATTTACAGTTTTGTTAAACGACAACACCCTTTTTTGTTTAATAGTGGCATTTTTGGCACTTCCGGTTCTACCGAAAGTATGTATACCCACTCCCTTATTTTAAATGGCAATCCCAATTTTTTATTACACAGTTAGATTCCTTGTTAGCGTATTTTCGAACGAAGGGTGTTCCGATTACCAGTCCTGAACATTATGTCTGTTATACGTCCCATTTTATTTGTTTACCAGTTCAAGATTTCGGCATTTAAGGCAATGAGTGGCTCAGATGTAAATGTATCCGTTATCTTGTAAGATGCGCAAACCCTTTCCTATAAAGATAAGCAACCTCCGCTAATTCAAAAACAGACATCCACCCTTTACCGCTTAGCTTAGGTCAAAAATTTTTTGGAAAAATTTCATTTGTAGATAGTCGTTTATTTTTAGCGCATTTTTTAATAATTAAAAAAATGTGCGATTTGTCCGTCCGTCCGGGCCCACTACTGCCATTTTGAACTACTTCTAGGGGAATAGTCCTACAGTCCTGGAAGTGTTTGCAGTAGGTAGCCTATACCTCGAAGGTGTGCCAGGCGGCCATCAAATTTCGCTGTCTAAAAGGCCTCCCCCCCCCCCACGAATTATGTCCTGAGATGCTGTTTTTGAAAGTAAAACGTGCATAACTTTTACATACGACAACCAATTGGTCTCAGAATTTGCATACGTATGCCTTTAGTGGTGCCAGGTTAAATTTTAGAAAATTGGGGGGGGGGGCAAACACATGTTCTACCCTTCATGGTATTCTAATGAAAGGTTTCATCGTAATAAATTGGTTTGTACAAAATATAACTTCCCCGTGCACCACTATACAGGGTGTCTTAAATTGAGTAGAATAACAGTTGGCTATCTTTGTTATTATTATACTTACAGATTCGGTTAAATTGGCAAAGTTGTGTAGTTTTTAATGCTAATGGAAATTCCGCTGCGATATTTTGAAAAAAATACATCGTTTCGTAGATAGGTAATTCAAAAAAGTTAAAATCGCCATTTTGATAAGGTTCCAATATTTTAGTAGCAAATCTATAGCTTTTGCTTTTTCCTGCACTGAAATTTGTACCGCTTCGTTTCATTGTAAGGTAAGGATATGTTTTGTTACCAGAAAATTCCGATTACTTTCGAAGATACGTCAGAAAAACGGAAATTTGTCGATTTCGATTTTTAATTTTTGTTGTTATTGGGGCAGATACAAAAAAAATTTTAAAGAAACTTTCTCATTGCCACTTTTTGAGCTTTACACGATACTGTTGAGATTTTCAATATGAGGTTCCGTTTCGGAGAAATCATCATCAAATTTGGTCCGTAAAAAAGTACATACTTACTGCACCTACTCACGCATTTTTGACTACGCATACAACGATGTACGGCACACAGAAAACAAGTTGGAAACTGTTGATTTCAACAGGATGGTGCACCCGCACACGACGCCATAATTAATTAAGGCGTTGTGTGAAGGTGCTGGTGAACCAAAACGCCAAATGCCGTTTGTAAAATAGAATATACAATGTACTAAAAACTCCATACAATCCCGCAATTTCGCAAAAGCTGACATTCTTGTTTCACAAAGCGTACCTACTTCTTGCTTACTTTCCCAACAGGTTCTAATGTTAAAAACATTTATTAGAACATCACGTACAAGACACAAGTCTACCGTTTCGTAACGCGATCCTATTGTTCTAATTCACCTTTGAAGTTGTTAAAATAATTTAGAAGGTCAACCGTTCTTCTTCATTCCGTTTAGTTTTACCCCATAACAGTTACGCTCTGTTTCTGTGTTAATATTTCGTGTTAGAATACATGCTTACTAAATTAACACGCTTTCGATCGTAAATTCAAGTGGGGAAATTAATTCCCCGCAAATCGTGGACAAAATTAAAGCTGACATTACTTTGATATACCTCGCGTTGTAAATGTCTTGTACTTAACCGCAAGATTTCGCTCGAGCCCGCGCTGCTCTCGCATTATGTGAAATGGTGTTAGCGCAAATGGGTCTCTGCGATTTTCTCGGTTTTTTATTCGTCTCCTACTGTGCGCGTCAGAGAAATGTCGAGAAGAAACCCTCGGAAAAATTCGAAGTCGAATTTCAGTGGAGTTACATTAATTTCACGTGGCCCTCGACTATGGATTACCACTACGCGACCACCAATGTTAAGTATATACCGGAAAACAACGCGATGGCCGGTATCAAGTATTACAATAACAGAATGTACATTGCATTGCCAAGATTGCGAAAAGGCACGCCGGTTACTTTAGCTTTTCTTCCTATGAATTCCAAGTCGACCACCAACCCTCTTCTTCGCCCTTATCCCAGTTGGGAGATGAACGTTAGGAAGAATTGTTCGGCTTTGCAGAACGTGCAGAGCATGGAGATCGATCGTTTCGGTGTCATGTGGGTGATTGACGGTGTCAGAATAAACAGTTTGACGAAGTGTCCGCCGAAAATTGTGCTGTTGGACCTAAAGAACGCAGGCAGGGTTTTGCACAGCTACGTCGTTCCCAACGATGTCAGTTTGCATCAGGGGGGTTTTCTAAATGACATCGTGGTGGATGAGAGTGACGGTGGTTTTGCGTACATAACTGATAATAGTGTGCAAGATCCAGGCCTTGTGGTGTATTCGCGCGTTTACAATAAATCGTGGAAGCTACGAGACGCTTCCATGTTCGGCGAAGTGGACGCCTCGGAATTTACAGTGGATGGATTGATTAATGAAGGTATGGTACCAGTGGATGGAATTGCGCTCGAGCCGATGCCGGCGAAACGAAAAGGTAATCGAATGGTATACTACTGCGCCTTGAGTAGTTACAGCCTCTACGCCATTAGCGCTTCCATACTGAAAAATGAAGAACTGTGCAAAAGTGGCGAATGGCGAAGAGACGTGGAGTACATCGGGAAGAAAAGGAGTCAAAGCGATGGATTAGTGATGGATAACAAAGGTAATCTTTACTATGGACTATTAAGCCGTTATGGTGTCGGGAAGTGGAACATCAAAAAACCTTTGCAATCTGCTAAAAACATCGACGTAAACAAAAAGAAGTTTGTGTGGCCGGATAGCTTTACGTTCGATACGGATGGTCATTTGTACGTACTCGCCAATGGTATTAACAAATTCTTTTCTCGTACGTACGAATTGCGGTTATCGCCCGATATGAAGTTTAAAATATTAAAGTCGTACACTGGAACCAATAGTTATTTGTACAGTTAAATAAATTAGTTATATTTGCTCAGATTGTTTTTATCCTCAACGTATGTAGAGTTCTCCCTAAATCTTCTAACATTACATCTGAATCAATTTTGTTCGGTTAGTTAATCTAGACATCCTCAACTACATCGAAAGGCGGAAACCCATTAAATGCGCCCGGTAATTAAAGTAAATTTTGAAAAGATAGACATATTAACCCACATTATTTGCGATGGCAACAATTAAGGTTAATAATGGGATTGCACATTGTATAAGAACCCTAAATGATTGTTTTTATTTAAACTTGTCTCTAAAATATGGGAATCTGTCCCACTTACGACTAATTCGAATACTTTCTTTATTCAGTCAATTTTTCCTTTCATTTCATTTCATCCCGCACATGTAATATAATGAATTACTTGACAGGGCTTCCCGAAACTTCTCTTATTTTCCATTGCAGAATCTACTGATGAAGAAAAAAATAGGAAAATCCGAAATAGTCATCGCACGCAAAGATTTGACTCCAAAAAACTAATCTTCGTAATTTTCGGCCCAAACAAATTCGCCTTCTGAAAATTTTCCAGCCAGGAACTTCATCATATTGCACTTTTCACAATTAACGTCACTACCATCTACTACGCCAGCTCTGTTAGGGACTGTATTGCATAATTAATTAACGAAACATATCCCTGGTCCAAAATAAGGGTGAAAATCAATTTTTATTAGCGCATTTTTTCCTAATGATAAAAACTTCGAGGGTAAATTTACAGAGGACGAATATTCTGGAGGTGCATTATCATATAATGGACTAATGCCCTCTATAGTCAATCCCAACGGTATTTCTGAGGTGAATTTATCCATGGACTTGTTTTCTTGGGGGCGACTTTACTAGAGAGAATTTTGGGACGAATCGTCCTACAATCTTGGATCATACATCTAAGCCTACAATCGAAAGTGAACGTACGTACCTAAGTCTAATGTGTAACAATCATAAAGTGATTAATAAATTTTAAGGTAGGTTTATGGGGAAATTCTGTATATTGTACCTACTGTCAATTCCCTAAGTAACATGTACGGTAAAAGACCTTAGGTGGAACAGATAAGGGGATATTTTAAACCGAAATAGCTAAATTACATCCTACAATAAAGGAACTCCTACTAACATTCAGAGGCACTCGTAGACTCATCATACGTTGTCGATGTTTATACCTTCTTGGTCAATGACTAATGGGGAGCGAAACGGAGGTTAACTTACAATGAAAATCCTAGATAATGTAAGAAGAATCAAGCAATTTTGCATTTTCCCTTCCTCCGATATTCCATATTTTCGAGATATCTATACAGGGTGGTGACTTGCGTAACGCATCATAGGGATTTCAATGTAAATTTCATAACAATCAACGTCAATCAACCGTATTAGTTTTCAATTTTTTGCAAAATAAAGACGGAAAATTGGGAAAATAAAACCCGCATCTTTTTCAATAATCTGTGACGCCATGGAATCTTATAATACAAAAACTACCCCAATATCCGTCATGCCATGGAATGTCTGCTATACCTAAAACAAATCAAATTCTATCAAAAAGTATTATATTTAGAACAGCGAATTCAACATAAAGAAAGACCAAATTACTAAAAACGGTTTCCTAATATATAGTCTGGTCAAAGTACACAAAATATCCGTAAAATGCAGCAAAAAGTAAAAACCTTTTGGAAATTCAAATTTAGGTAGTGTAGCAATTGAAAATAGCATCTAGGATAGTTTAAGGGTAGTTAGATAGGCGCAATGTAAGTTGCATATATTTAGGCAGGTATATAATATTAGTTTTGGAAATTTAGTTATCTGTAAGGTCACATTCCTTGGGTGATAATTTTGGGTAAGGCAACGTATTTTTGGTAGAAAATCGAGAGAGAGTGATTGGCTTTTGGGTGGCTAGTTAGAGCTAAAATAATAAATTGTAGAATTTACTGATATATATTCAGGATCTGTCTACTAGCTCCCATATTTTGCTACTGTTTTCCGACTGAAGTAGAGTTGTTGGCGTGTTGACCGGGCTCAGTAGTTTGATTATTCAGATCAGAAGTGATCCTCCTCGAAGGTAATTTTTACTATCTCGTTTATTGGCTAAAATTAAAATTATCAGTTTCAGATACAATGCTAGGAATTTAATTACTTGTACATATTAAATAGGCTTGTTAGGACGTTAGAACTATAGTTATAAGGTAAGGTAATTAATCGAAATATCTTTGAGAGTACCACCATTAATTTATAGTTTGGTACGATTCGTGAGAGTTATCGTAATAGGCATCTTTGGCTAAGGGAATTAATGATAAAGCTATAACATCTAGGTAAGGGTTACCTCTTCATTTTGGCATGCAGTAGAAGTCGTCTTTTTTTAGCTTTTCCTCAGACACCGGTCCCGGCTTTACCTAAGGTTAAGGTCATGGGCAACGGCACTACAAACCAGCAGGTCTGATAAACCAATCCTTATCTACTATTACCATTCCTTGCGGCGAAAGTAAAGGTCGTATCACTATTTAGAAATAATTAATATGTTTAAACCCTACTTTAATTTATTTGTGGCATATGTTGGACCCGTTCATACCGTGGGTGTTGAACCTAAAAAAAAAACAAATGTACCTAATAATTCACCAGTTCTGTGTATGATTTAATGTAATTACAAATACTTACCTCATTTCCATTGCGTACTTGTAAAGGGGAATTCGTTGAATTGATATTGGTGGTTAACTTGGTTAAACCTCCATTGGACATACTTGTAATATACTCAGGGTGCGGGGCTAGCTAGCAATTCCAGGACCCGTATATCTAACGTCAGAACTAAGGCACTCACGCCACTGTTTATAACATGGTGGTAACGAATGAAACCTCCTAATTAATGTTCAATCAGATATCAGGGCTTCACACCATTAATACCATTTCGTTGCGTATAATTTGCCTGTCCATTAACGTCATTTATTTGAATATAAATATATTCTGTTTCTCTTGCCACAATTATCTACGAGTTTTATTCATGTTCATACATTTTACTTGGAAGAGCCTATCCTCCTTGATCAAGAGGGTTCCATGCTTTGGCTTGATCTGGCGCCCTACTATAATTTTTGAGTTTGAAAGTAGCAATTGTACATGGCAGGATTTCGATCCTTCACGACTCTATAGTTTAGAGTTAGCCGGCTGCTGCACTAAATCCAAGTTTAGTGGTGATTGTTGAATTAGTATTGAGGGGCTGTGCTGCAGTAGTTAAAAGGATATGAGAAAATCTTTACCAATTTAGGTAAGCAATTTTCTGGAAGAACTTTGGTCGAAAATTTTGATATTTGTTTTTTCACTCTAATTGTTTAAATCTCGGTTTAAATAATGATAATACAAAAAAATGTTCAAATCAAAAATTATAGCAAATGCATTTACCTACAAAATTTGTCTGAAAAGTTTTCTGATATCTTCATTAGTTTTTGAAATATACAAATTAAATTAAAGAGAGATTGTGTGTGAAGCAACCTTTGAATAGATTTGGTCCTATGGAATCAATAAAGTTAACTTTTACATGAACTAAAAAATTAAAGGGACAAGGGGGTCCAAAATAGCAGCAGAGCTACACGGAATCGATCCAAGCGTTTGCCAGTTATCGTGATCATAGGCAAACGCACAGCCGGACACCAATAAACCTTATAAATCTTGCATGGATTTGCTCTGTTGCTTAATAAACAAAAATGCAAAGCGTGGGATACCTTGAAAGTAGTAATATATGGCCGCTTCTAAATCACACTAGATGAAAATCCCTAGAAAAGTCACTAGAATTGAGTGGTTATGAACTGTGGTACCGAGGTTTGCGCCTGTGCTAACGTCAAGGTCAAGGGGTCGAGGTTTGTGCTCGAGATAAAGTATCGGAGGTTTACGTCCGAGCTAAAGTAAGTCGGTTTGCGTCTGAGTCGAGAGTTCTTGTCGATGGTACTATATGACACTATATTCTAAATATGACTTTGAAGATGTGGTGGGGATTGACGCTTATATAAGCCTCTATATGTTCGTTACAAGATGTACAATATTAAAGATGTCGTGGATGGCATATGCTGAGGAATGAAAGTATGTACTTCAAAGTATTTACAGATAAAGTTTCATTGAAATATATTAACTTTGTCAGTTTTTTCAGTGCATCACAACCTTCAAATTATTAACTTTTAAATCGAGCCTTTAATAAATTCGGCTCACGGGACGTTCGCGCGCACCCACGAATCGACTTTCGCGGAAATCAATTATATCTCGTACACTTTTCAATTTACAGAAAAACTTTTCAGACAAATTTTGTAGATAAATGCATCAGCTACATTTTAATTGAAACTGTTTTCCGTATATTTAATATTTAAACAATTAGAGTGAAAAAACAAAAACAAAATTTTTCACTCGACAATTTTCCGGAAAATGCATACCTATCTTCGTAAAGAATTTCATTAAGCACAACCCTTTTGAATACTCAAATTTGAAATTTCAAGAGGTTTTTATTTTTTGTGAAGCTATATATGTGTACTTTGACCACGCTAATAACAATTTACAATAAATGTTCGAATAAGTCACCATTAACTGCAAGACAGTAACCAAGTCGATCATGAAATCCATTTCGAACTGCTGCTAATTGATAACTGGATATCTTTTTGTTTTAGAAAATTCCATGGCATCGCAGATTATTGAAAAAGATGCGGGTTTTATTTTTCCAATTTTCCGTCTTTATATGAAAAAAATTGAAAACTAATACGGTTGATTGACGTAAAAAAAATTTTCTACAAAAAACCTTAATACATTTTTGCTCTAAAATAATTTGGGGAGCCAATAATCGAATGTTATGAATTTTACATTGAAATCCCTATGATGCGTTACGCAAGTAGTGTATACATCTTGCGTTTTCAAATCGCTAGTAGACATATCTCGTCCAAACATCCTATAGTCGCCTTTTAAGAGTGCTATCCTCCGACAGTCCGCTCTTGAAATATGGGAAATTATAACGATTACG